CTGTTTTGCTCATACGTACCTGGTGAGTTCTTGATTGCCTTCACATTGTCTCAGACATTTGGACTTGACTGTGAGCTATAGTTTGAAGATAATTTTGTGTGTGTGTTGTGTGTGTGTGTCTGTGTCTTGAAAGTACAGAGGAGATTACAGACTAGGTGATGTCTTGATGTGGCTGCCTGTGATGTGGAGCTCCGGTCTCCTGGTTCGGGGTGAATTCCAGTCTGATTCTGCCTCCTGCTTTAAGTCGTTGGTTAGGTTCAGAGCTTAGCATCACCTGGGAGAAACTGCCACAGTCATCTTCTAGCAGATGTTTGTAGTTCGGTGAAGCAGAAGAGGAAAAACTAGTTGCCGTGAAGATTCATGGTAGTCCCAAGGGTATCAGTAGAACCGTGCTTTCATAGGGTTTCCAGTGGCCCATTGTTTAGAAGTAGATCACTAGACCTTCGCTTTGAGGCTTGTCTCGGTGGTCAGAACCTGTAACTTCTTAATTAGCTGCTGAGCATGTTAAGTGTGTACACTGCCCGGGGACTCCAGAGGAGAGCACGCTTATTCTACTAGCCCCTTGGTGGGAGAACAATGAGGCTTTCTCCTCATGAAGATTTGCAGTCTGGGAAACCCAGGGCAGTCTACTCTGCTCTAGGATCGATCGTGTCAGAATGCACTTGATGGCAGTGAGCTTACTTTTGGTTCTCTTGAGATTGTGTCCCCCAGGGATTGGCCTACGCTGGTTTTCCGGCTTTCTTCCCATTAGGGAGGTGCCATTACACAAGGTGCCAGAGACTTCCCTACACCTCCTTTTTTTTTGTGGGTGGGGTGGGGGTGGTCATTGTTGGTTGTGAAGGTAGCTCTCATGGCTTGCCTTCGACTATTAATCTAAAGTTTGGCAGTTCAGACCCATCAAATAGCACCATGGAAGAGAGTCCTGATGATCTTCTTCCATGAAGATCACATCACAAAAAAGACACCTGTGGAGCGCGTGCTGGTCTACTCGGTGAAATGGGGTCTCCGTGAGTCGGAATTGACAAGCGTGGTCTTTATGTATTTGTTAGTTGGGTGGAGCTTTTGCTCTTGCAACTGGTTCTGAACAAATCTTAGAGTTGTCTGTGTTCTCTGTCCTTCAAGTTGGGGTCATGGTTATTAACCAATGTCCCTTGAAACTTCATTGGAGAGTAGAGTTGGATTGAATGTTGAGAAATTTGTAGGCCTGCACCATGCTACTGGTAATTGTCTGACTTCCAGCCCTTTTTACTGTTTTCTGGTATTGGCTTATTTGCCACCCCAACACCTGCTTTTTTATTGTATTTTATTTTTTAGGTTCATTTTATTGGGGTGTCTTACAGATCTTATAACAATCCATACATCAGTTGTATTGAGCATATTTGTACATATGTTGCCATCATTATTTTCTAAACATTTACGTTCTATTTGAACCCTTGAACACCTGCTTTTAAAAGCCTGTCTGCTGTCTTAAATGGTAGAGATCTTGTTACCTGGCTTCTCTACACTTTACATCTTAAACCAAAAGATAATGTATAAATTATCAAGGGTTCTTGAGGGAGGGAGGAAAAAA